ATCGAAACCGAGTTTCTCGATGATGATACGCATCGATCCCCCGGCCGGTAATATTAAAACACGAGGTGATACAAAACAAGGGGAGACGCGAAAAGAGATGAACGGCGTTCCGTTTCCGCTTTTCCCGTTTCCGATTTTCGAGAGATGATGTACAAACACGCGTAACGAAAGCGTGGCTGGCGTAAACGATCCATTTGGCTGATTGATCCGCCGCCATATATAGATCCATTATGCCGCGAATGAAGATACCGCGTTGTTGGCACGTTTTGAAAAATTATTTATGACCAAGATGCGAGAAACGAGAAGATCGGTAGCCACGAAAGCAAATGGCAAATGGATTTGGTTAACCTCTATTTTGCTGATGTTTTGGAGTTTGATTTGACTTGGTTAATAGTAATTTTCAAGTTAAATTATTTTTAAATGTAAAAGTTAAATTGTTTAAAAATAATCTAATTTAATCTATAATCGATAGAATTTAATTTATAGATGATAAATAAATCATGAATGTGAAAACGATTAATTGTTTATCAATGGCATAAAATAAAGATTGTTTCATAATCAATTCTTCGTTTTAAATATATATATTTGAAATATCACTTTCTACAATAATATTATTATTAAATTATTAAAAGAATTAACTATTCGAAATAGTTTCACGATTATACTTACAAATTTTTAAATATTAACAATTGACTACTCTTCCTCTTTCGTAACTCTTCTTTTCGTAAGATTTTAATCATAAGAAGTAGAGATTAATTCGTTAAATTAATACAATTTGCCAATTCTTGTTCATCTCATAATTAAACCTAAAAAAAAGAAGAAAAAGAAAAATCAAAAGACAAGGTAAGAATGAAAACGAAAAAAGAAAAAAAAAAAACGTATTAAGACATCAAAGCATTATGCTTCGAGACGATAAGAAATCCAACCCGTAAACCAATTTCCTCGGTCCGTGGGTATTACGTGCTCACAAAATTTCGCTCACCCTTGGCCACGCGAAATCGTTAAAAGAACATCAGAAACTGGTTTCGTGCGTGAGTTACTGCGATTCTTCAAACCGTGCCAACGTCGGATACGAATCCCAACTGTGACAGCCACGAAAACGAAATAGCGTTCTAGATTGCAGAAAACGATTAAACGAGTCTTTCAATTGTTGTTAAATTAAAAGAAACATGGATGAAAAAAATGATAATAATTGCGAGCATCGAGTTAATCGAGTACCATAATGAAAAAATAACAATTTGATAAAACCGCCGTGAAACGAAGCATTCATCCTTGTTTTAATTGATTCTAATTCTTCGATATTGGCACAACAACCAATCAAGAGTTATCGTAACATCTTCGAGCATCTATTCATTCCGAATGCTTCGACAATCATATTACAGAACCTTCTTCGGCCAACTTCGAGTTAGTCATCGAACAATTGTAAACTAACCCTTATTCTTCAGTCATAGAAAACGGAGATCAGCAGAAATTGCATACCTATATAGAAAGTTCAAAGTTGACAGTAAACAACGTAAGTTCTCGCGAAGTTCTGGTAAACTTATTCAACAACTAGCATTTCATGATAATACATTTACTATTATTGACGTATAATTACATCTTTTTAAATTATTATTGATATAAAACTACTTTCACTTGAGAAAAATATATTATTTTGAAAAATCTATTCTAAATGCCAAAATAATAATATAAAAATTGATATATAAAAATATCGAAGCTTATTCTTGAAGTTATAACTTTTCTTTTACTTCTAGAATCCTTCAAAATTGTCCCACGAAATAAATATATTAACATCTTGTATATAAATATCTTGAAATATCTAGAAAAAAAGATGAAATTTTGAGACAAAATTATAAAAAATATTCTTTCTATAACATAAATAATCTTCTTGATAACCTGTATGACGTGTTAAATTCTATTTTGAGTGCAATTAAATTAGACTGAAAAAGGGCGGGAAAATTAAAAAGAAATAATAATCCGCGCACGCGCAAACGTATATATGAGCTACACGTATTTCAAGATAGTTTCTCCCTCACCTGCTGCTTTGTGATGTATATCGGCTTGTTCAGGATGATCCACGTGGTGGTCTCGTGGCAGGCTGGCATCGTGATGGAGCCGTCGTACGTCATGTAATATTTCGTGTCCGGTAGCAGTTCCCGCACCACGAAACGTTTAATCTCCATCGCTTGGCCTGCGTGCAATCAGTTCGATCGATAACGTGATGATCCGACAATAACCGTGACGCGCATACGTAGCCCAATTAACATCGATATTTCTCACGCACGCGTCACTTATTATTCTTACTTTTATATTTTTATGCGATTGAGAAATGCCGAGAATAAAAGTTCGAAGCGTCTCAATCGATTCACCGAGGTAGATAAAAATATAGAAGACACGTTGAGCGTTCCCTTCGATCATTGGGGAATTAAACCATCGAGCAAACTTTTACACACATTTCTAATTGTATAAAAAGATATAGGAATATCGAAAAATGAAATCGAAAGTAATTTAATTTTAATATTCTATTGATTTAATTTTTATCTTCATTTCTCTGCTGAGATATAAATTTGATTTAATATATTGCATTGAATTTTTTGATGAAATCGATTGTAATATAAAATATTGGAACATTGTTTAAGAAGATTAGTCCATGTTACGTTCGACTGTTTTGTAATGCATAAATATTAATATTCCTTGTGTGCTGAATAAACTGACGTGAATCACTTTCCGTAGACGACACGCAATTCATAATGTCTATCACGGTTATAATATGCTGCTTTGCATGCTGTTTAAAACATCAATTAATTATCTTACATGTTTATCAAGTAAAGATCAAATCTTTTTTAATTAAAACGTATTTCTAAATTAACTAGGTAAATCAAAAACGAAATTTTATGTTATGTATGCATGTAACGTATTATGAAATTCACCGAACCGATCTTGGCATCCTTAGCGTAATAAAGGATTGATTAGTTAGAATTTCTGATGTTCCATCCCGCATGTACTGTGATAAAATATTCATTTCTGTTTTGATGGCTGTTTAAAATATTAATTAATTATTGCATGTTTAAACTATTGTTTTGACCTCATGTTATATAAAATACATAAAACGTGTTTTCATTTGGTACATGTGCATTCTAAACAAAGGATTAATTATTAAAAATTTTACGTGTTTATTCTGTGATACGTGATCATTTAAAAATCGAAAATAAAATTTAAATAATATCACTTAAATATATACGTGAAAGGTATGTATAAAGCACACAAAGAATCAATTGATCATAATTTTATGCGTATTTTTTCTCGAAATCAAGAATAGAATATCAATTATAATAGTTGTAGTATATAATTGGAATTATCCTTTATAAATGTTTAATTAATAATACAAATTAATAATGAATGAAACATAAAACGTACGTTTATTGAAATTCGTTTATAGAAATGGTTGATTATTTAAAATTTCAAAATATTTTATACAAAGTTACGTTTCCTCCTGATTTAATTTTTTTCGATTAAAAGCCAATTATAAGAGCTAAAAAATATAAATAAGATGGGCCAAAAAACGTTTCATATAACAAATTTATTTCCAAATCGATGAAAATCCCCATACGAATTCGATAATCATTTCTGGCTTCTCAAATTTCATGTCGAATCAGACAATATCTTTAATTAATTGATACGAAGGAGAATTCTGTATTATTCTTTTTTTGTTTGATCTGTGTATCTCCGAAAAATAGATCTCCTTTCTCTCGGCAATTAAAATTAATTAGTTTGCAATTAAATCCTTCATCGTGGAAAAGGCAACTTATAGCGATTATAACGAAGAACGATTTCAATTGAAAATTACAAAATGGGATTTAATATCTGAAATTGTTTGCCTTAATTACAATTCTTAAGAATTCTTATTTTCTCTTCCTCTTTTTTTTTTTTTTTTTTTTTTTTTTTTTT